CCCCAAAACCCCAAAACCCCTTTATGCCAATTAAAGCATAAATTAAACAAAAAGATTTTAATATAAGAATTTATAACATACATACTGAATGAAAACAGTCTATTATTAAATCATTTTATTAGATTAAACATCGCTGAAGAAACTAATTTAACGCGAAAATCACCTATTTCTGTTAGAAGCTACAAATCTAACTTTTTTCTATGATGTTTTTACACCATATTTAAACATGTAGAACTCCATAGACATACTTTTTATAAGCTCTGATAATACTAGCTCTAATGGCATCCTCTTTAATCACATTTTCATTCCGACTCTGGAGTTAAATATCAAGCCACCTCATAGTTTGTTTGCAGTGCTTTTTGTCCCTCTTTCACTACCCTCAACTAGGCAATGAGATAATTCCTCCAGCAACTTCTAGCAAAGCAATGTATGACGATTTGCCATTTGGCTTGGCCAACAGAATAACAAAACAGTTTGAATTCTAGTAAATTAGCATCTGAAGCTATACAGTTATCACTTATCCATTATTCTTGGATCACTTTATTACTATCAATTTATGCTTGATAATATAACTTTCTAGTTCTGCTCCTTTTCTCCTTTTTCAACAACATCCATATTATAAAGCACTACTTTGGGGACAAGGCCTTTTTTCCTTATTATTATGAGCAAGGAGCATGTCAAAGTAACTATATTGCTGGTTTCTACTAAAAATTGCTCTAACAATGTGGTTTGTAGTTCTTTAGTCTGGAAGCAATAGTACTAGTGACTCTAAGCTTTGCCATGTTGATGATCACCTTGGGCTTCGAGCCATCTGAAGCTATTGAGAACTTAAAGAACTCTAGGATGGAATCTGCCCAATAAATGAATGATTGCAGCTATAATAGGATAAGTTAATTAATAAGGTATACCTTTAGACAAAGAAATCAATAAAAGCAGAAATTTAAAACAACTAATAAAGCTTAATTCCATTTGAATGGTAACTTTATTAAAATACAGAAAATAGTTGGAGTGCTAAGTTTAAGACTTCATTTTCTAAAACATATCTTAAAATAAAAATGATAAATTTCTAGCATCATAATTAATCAATATGACCTCATGGGGTTTTGGGGTTTTGGGG